GGAGAGGAGAGAGAGAGAGAGAGAGAGACAAAGTTCATATGCGAAAATATAGCCTCCATCAAAGTATCATGAGAACCTTCTAAAGCTTTTGAGGTTCAGGAAATATAGCTTGCATCAGAGTATCATACGAATAAGAATCTGTACCTACTACAGCTTTTGAGGTTGAACTCAAGTTTGAACAGATCTGGGCCCAGGCTGGACTTGGGCTTGAGCAGGCCCTATGGGGACTAGGGCCAAGCTAGGGGCCTGGTGTGGTCCACTATTAAAATTATTTGGCTTCAACTCTCCCCTCAAGGAGCCTTAAGGAAATCCTAGATAGCTTCTCTCTCGCTACTATTAACTTCCAAGTTGGCTTTTCACCTTGTAAGCAATCCATGAACTAACAATGCGGCATGGGTTGGATTGGGTTGTTTGCTCCTTGAGGGGTTTTGTTTCCTCATGGGTTGGGGTTTAAGTTTGTTATTCTCATTAACGATCTAGAAAGGTGGTGGCTTCTCTCATTTATTTTGCCTGGTGTTCCTTTTACTGCCACATTCTCATCTTTGGTTATCTAGCACTTTTTGAGAGGAAATGATCTGGGAGACTGCCCTTTTTGCATGATGGGCTCTCTCTCTCTACCTTCTCCTCGACGATGTATTGAGATGATCCTCTACCTACTGCCCATAAAGGTTCTCTTCACTTCAACAAAAGTATCTCGAATAAGTATCTCTCTTCTTGGAACTTTGCTCGAATCCTTGTGAAAAAATTTGGAGGTGCACCTTAATTGGATTGTTTAATGTTGCAATCTTATAGAAACCACACCCAAAATGTAATGTTTATGATTAAATGTAAAGAAACTACACCCAAAATGTAATATTTATGATTAAATGTAAGTTATGTTTTATGTTGTTATTAAATTAGAAATAGCTTGAATGTGTCACAAAATTTGAGAAAATTTCTTTTGAACTTTGAGTTTGGTCAATGAAATAAAGGAAGTCATCCAATTTCACATCCAATGGTCAAGATTAATTGTGATTATTTTTTACCAAAGGCAATTGGTCTCATTATATACTTTCACTTAAAAAATTTAAGAGAGAAATATATAAAAAAGTTTTTCAGATAAGGTGGTAACGCAAAGGCCTAGGTTCGAAGGAACTTAATATGAGGAGCATGAAGAGGAATCCTAATCTTACTTATTTAACTTGGAAAAGAGAAACACCTCTTGAGAGAAATGTTTCAATTAGTTAAAATAAAATCCACATAGGGAAACATATATTATTATTTAATTATTTAAATTTGTGTATTTTTCACTGTTTTAAGTAATTTTCTACTAAAAACAGACGATTTTTAGTAACACTTAGAATAAAATAAAAATAGCTTTTCAAATATATAAAATTATAAATAAAATTGCCCATAATTTTATCTGAGATATCATGTAAAAGTGCAAAGTTTATCTTACATAATTTCACCAGGGACATTACCAAATAATATATGGAGGATTAACCGACAATAGGGAAGATGTGGAATATAACTTATTTTCTCAAAAAACTCGAAATAAAAAAATTCCTAAATTTTAGTAAAATATATATATATAAAAAAAAAAAGAGATTTAAAACGATAGTTGGAGAATAGTTAATACACAGACTCCTACCCTAAAAGGAGAGAGATTTTCGTTGACCAAATTGTTTTTGAGATGAGTTTCATTGTCAGGATTGAAATTGATTTTGGAGGGAGATTTTCGTTGACCAAATTGCTTTTGGGATGAGAATTTTGATTTGGTTAGTAGGGTCTGTATATCATGCTCCCGCGGGAGCATAAAGGGCAGTAACTCCCTCAGGCAAAAGAGAGATTTTGGAGGATTTTCTTTCGTTCGAATTCCAAGATATAAGTAATAACAACTAGATGATTATCTTTCAAACAAGAAAAAATGGTTTGAGTTTTTCAACACTTAGATCTGGCCCACCGAAAATTGGATGTTCCTTATACATTATTTTTTAATTCACGAACACAGATTGCACATTTTGAAAATTTTCATTTTTGAGGGACTCTATGCCAAGAGCTACATTCCCCAAAATTTGGGGTCTTAAAGATACTTTGAGATTTTCCCAAGGGATCAAATGGATAGTGTGCACCTACATGAGCAACATAACTTTTGACATCAATATCTCTCTCATATTTTGAAGGCTGGAGTTTCTACTTATCACCTCATTTAAAACCAATGCAAAAAGATAGACAATACTTATCATATACAAGTTTTTTTTTGGTTATTTTTTTTAATAATTTTATTGGGTAATTTATCATATACAAGTTAACCTAAAAAAAGCAACCTATGATCCTCCCACGTTGGTGGTTTGAGCTAAGCAAATCTGATATATTTAGCAAGCTTATCTATTATGAAAGAAATTAAAGATTTTGAAGTCTAAAAGATAAGGAAATCTTGTATTTTTTAAAGATAGGAACAATCCTTTTGTTTTGAATTTTAAATTAATCAAGTTTATAAATTAATCAAATCACGAGAAGGGAGATATTGTAGGAGAATTACAAATGTTGGCTTCCAAAGTGGAAACGAAAACGTTATTCTCTCTGGTTCTCTTCATTGCTTATGTTTTGGCATTAGGTCCTTTCTCCGTGTTTCTCTTCAATTCTTAAGTTTTCTTCTTCAATTCGTAAGTTTTCTTTCAAGGGCTTTTTGTTCTCTTATGTTTTGGCATCTGTGTTTCTCTTCAATTCGTAAGTTTTCTTCTTCTTCTTCTTCTTCTTCTTTTCTTTCAAGGGCTTTTTGTGAAAAGAAAAGAACATGAAAAGTAAGCTTTCTGTGAAAGAGAAGAATATGGAAAGTAAGAGGCTTTCTATGAAAATGAAGTGGGTAAAACAGTGGCAAGAGAAGAATATGAAAAGTAAGAAAGTAAAACAGAGGCTTTCTATGAAAAGGAAGACGGTAAAAAAAAGGCTTTTGTCCCCTGCATCTCTTTCTGCATGTCCTCTTCCCACAATGGGGTCTTTGTCGGACATTCTGCCCGGCGATCTTGTTGAGAAGATCCTCTTGTCATACCCATTGAAGCGTCTCTTACGCCTCAAGAGTGTATCGAAATCTTGGGATCAATTGCTCACCTCTCCCGACTTCATGAAACTCCGTTCCCTCTCCTTTCTGCCGGATTCTCAACCTCGTGTGCTCTACCTGGATTATTGGAAGAACAAGGTCATGTTTCTTTATGGTGTCAAGGACTGGCTCTTCCATGGTATATCAAAGCTCCGTGCACCAAGGTCACTTCATTTTGGCGATTCCACGAGATGGGGCTTGATGGTCGCTAGCCATGGTATTCTGTGTTGCTTGAGTAGGTTAATTATTGATAAGCGAAGATGGGATTACTTTTATGTTGTGAACCCGACCACTGGTCGACAAAACTCCATTACTGATTTTCCCGGCGCTTTTGCGCACCACTTCGGGTTCTATTTTGACCCCATACTCCATAATTTCAAGATTTTAGCTCAAGTTGAGGTGATGCATCAATCGACCGAGGTAAATGACATAATGTATGTGATGTTTGATTCATCGACTGGACAATGGAGGCGCCCTCAAAACTCAATACCCGACCGCTCGTGCACCTCAGCACCCATGGTCTCCATAGAAAACACTTGCTACTACATGTACAAAGACAATCAAAATCTGGTGGCTTTCAATATGGATAGAGAGGAAGGGGAGATCATTTTTGTTCAAGAATTGCTTCGAGGTTCTGATTTTAGAATTTTAGAATGGGACGGTCGCCTGGCTTTGCTTCAATCAACTAACGTGCTCGATGTGAAGGTGTGGGTTCTGATTGATAAGAAGTTCAGCCAAGTGATTCATGTAGACATGCATAAATTGTGTAGTTATGTTTTACGAAATATACAGCATTGCTGTTTGTTTGGGAAAACACTGATAATCTATGGTGATGGTAGGTTTGAGGGATACAATATCATGAGCGGGCAATTAATCTCATCTTCCGTTGATATTCAGGTTGGGAACTGTGGATACTTCATAGCCTACAATCCCACTCTCTATTCTTGGAATTACAGTTAATGCAGAAGTGCTTCAAGATTTGGTGATTTAGGAAGATTTGCAAACAAAAGACATTTTATTTTTGTTCAGGAATTTTATCCATATTGATTGAAATAAGTGAATGATTTAGGGAGATTTCCCAACAAATTGAGATGATTTCATGACAGTGGGTGTCAAGTTTGTTAATTGCCTAGACTCTCTTTTGTGCTTGGGATTTTTCTGGTTACATTGCAGTATGAGTAGGTGCTTCATTAATGAGTTTTGGATCTTTGTTCAATTGTTAATTTCAGGTTGTAAAATAGGCTGATTGTCCAAAAAAAACAAAAAGTTGTAAAATAGGCTTTATAAATGTGTTTGGATCTTTGTTCAATTGTTTGTGTTCCTTGTATGACGGGTTATTTCGCATTTTTTTTTCTTGGTTATTCTTTTCAAGTCTAATCATGTTAGATTGTGAAATGTCTAGACCCCTTTGTAGTGTTCTTTTGCTCTTTTGGAATCAGGGACCCTTCTATTTGTTTTCTGTTAGTCATCTGTTACCCAAACAATTATTTTCAAAGGTTACAGTAATTTGATTACTTTGATCCTTAGGGACATGGTATTTTGTATGGCTTGCGATTGAATGCGTTTTAGCTAGTAGTTTTAACTGCCTTATCATCTTGGGTTTCAGTAATTCAAATGTGTTTTATCCCCCTTTAGTTAATAATTTGGATCTTGAGATGTATAAATGTGAAAAAAAGGCATTTCAAGATTTTTAAGTATTTATAGATCTTGTAAATGAACTATTTTTCGAGGTTCAAATTTCATTGTAGGACTTATTTTTCGAGGTTCAAATTTCATTGTCAGACTTTTTGGCACAAGCAAACTGCATCTTTTGGCAGGTCTTAGAGGTATGCCTTACTTTGTTTGAGGTACCTTTGTTTAAGATTGATGCCTCCTTATGTAAACGGCATCCGTAATTAAAATGTTATCCTTTGAATTCCCTTACCCCTCCACCTCCCTCTTCCCCCACCCTCTAGCATGTAATTGAACATTGTAGGGAAAATTATAAAAAAACCCCAAATATACACTATCTATGTAACTTACCCCCATCCAAATCTTTTCTCTCACTTTCTTCTCCATAACAACATTTCTTCGCAAAAACTCCCCAAGGTAAAAAGTTGGTATTTTTTGGACAGAAATACCCTTTCTGTATAAAAAAAATCAATTGGCGCTTACTATGGGTCCTAAGTAGCGTATTGTTAGAGCGCAATATACAACTGCCGGAACGAATTGTCTACAACATATTGCCGGAGCGCATATGAATCGAGCGCCTGAGTTCTTTGTAAGGATTGTCGGATCGCCGTACGCACTGCCAAAACGTGTTCATATACTGTCAGAGTGTTGAATACACGGCCGGACCACGCCGAAGCACCTTGTCTTTATAGACTACTAGAGCGAAATATCTTTAGAAGGTGTGCCGCCGAAGCACCTTCATATACTGCCGAAGGTGTACCGCCGCACGTTTATATACTGCCGAAGGCCGCCGAATGTTCATATACTGCCGAAGGTGTACTGCCGAACGTTCATATGCTGCTGCAAGTGTACCGCCGAAGCACGTTCATATGCTGTCAAAGCACTAAGCACACTGCCGGATCACCCTATTACACCGCCAGAGCTCTGTGGCTCCAGAGCTCATATTGCCGGAGCGTTCTTTGGGACTGCCAGAGCGCGTCGTCTCCAAAAACTGTATTGTTGGAGTGCATTGGGTAAATTAAAAAATGAGAAACAAGAGAGAGAAGGGCGTGTGAAAAAAATGGTAGTTTAGTCTTTTTTCTTATTCCTTTTGGGTTCGGGTTTTTTTTGCGAAAAAAGGTTGTTATGGGAAACAAGTGAGAGAAAAAAGTTGGATGGGGATAAGTTGCATAGATAGTATATATTGGGGATTTTTTATAATTTTCCCCACGGAATGTAATTGGACATGCACATGATAATGACAGAGACCATATTAGAATTCGAAAAGCCTTTGATTGACAAAGATGCCTCCATTAGGCCTAATCAGGTCTGTTAATATTTTCAGAGTTCTTCTTGAGAACTAGCATATCTTAATTGCTGGTTGTGCTCTAGTTCTATGTTGGATTTTTAAGAGTTGTTGGCTTTGTGCTACTTCTATATGCAACAGGTCTGTAATCGACATAGCAGCTGGTGTTCTGTTAAAGTTCTTCCCACAAGTTTTACATTTTGTAATTTGTACTCTTGAATTATTTTTCAGTTTCTGAAATGCATGTTTTGGTACTTTTTTTCCTCTCTTTCCTGTCTGACTTTTCAAAGCCTATTTGATTACCATTTCTAAACCTAATTCTTCAAAAATAGAAAATCTAAAACCCACTTTTTAAACTTTTCTCATCAACTTTTAAAAACTAATGGAATGTTAAACTAAAGGAATATCTATCATATTTTAGGATGAATAGTTTGTTGCATTTCTTCATTCAATCAATAAAGGGTGTGATTTGTATAGACCGAGGCCCTAAACAATCAAATTAAGGCCCACCTTCAAATAGTGTCAAAAGATGTTGTTTTAATATTAAAAGTCTTTGTGATGGCCTTAAATTTTTTTCATCTCTAATTATAAAATTCAAAGTTTAAAAAATAGTGTAGATTGAGCAGAACTATGAACACTTGAAAATTGACGGGTTTGAAAATGCATTACAAGATGCACGATTTCCAAGACTTGAAATCCATTTTTCTCATGTTCATGCATCTTTGAGATGATCAATTTGAGGACTTTTGGGTATCGACACAACCTCTTCTAGTGAAAATTTTAAAGTATGCTTTAATTTGATTGTTTAGGGCCTCGCCAACTTTTTCCATCAACAAAAAAAAAAGTTCATTATTAAAAGAAAAGAATATTTTTTGCATTTCATGTCGAACGTGGAATGTTCCTTCAAGGAAGGTAAAAGGTTGCCCCAATTGAAATTTCACAAATACGATAAATATGGACGATTGGTCATTTTGAATAAAAGCTTTGATGGACATTGCTCAGGTAATATTGATAGAAAATAATGGGACATTATCAATTGAACCCTTAATATTGTTTTGATGGAAAAATTTGACAGTAGGATGCTTAACATTCACAATTCCGTATGCCTTCAACAACCCATTCAGGTATTATTTCAAGCCATGTTCACAACCCATGTTCACAACCTACACCAAATCTATCTTGGAGACAAGAAACTACACCAAATCCATACCTACGATCTAAAATAATTTTAACACAAATAAACCCAAGGTTCTGAAACTCGGCTTGCCTTTGACAGAGCCAAGTTATGGGGACTGAGGTGAGTCCGAGTGGATTCGCCGAGTTGTGCACAGGGCGAAAAGGACCTAAAAAATAGAAAATTTTTGGAAAATAAAAAGTAGAGGAAGTACAATGGAATAAAAAGAACTCTAAAAAGATAGTTTAAGCATTAAAAAGAAGAGAAAAAATGATTTCAAAAATAAAAAATTAGAGTTTGGGACACTTAAAAAATAGAAAAACAAAAATAGGAATCATAGTACATAACACTCACCAATCCTTCCCAAGAACTTCAAAATCATGTAAAAAATTTTATACAACACTTCTATAATTTTTTAACTCTTTTCGAAAAAATTTTATAGGTCCCAAGTTGTACTTACCACTTGGGCCTACTTGGACATGCGGCGAGTCCAATTAACATGGCCAAGTTCGAGTGGAATATGACGAGTCCCAGGCACTGGATATTAACTTTATTACTCTTCTTTTTCTTTTGAATCCATCATTTTCTTGTTAGATTGTAGAGAGGATGCACTAGGGACTATGTTTTTCACTTTTTCTTTTCTATTTCATTCTTTTTGCACGTTTGATGGTGGTTAAAGGTGCCAATGGGCCGGGCCATCTTTCACCCTGACCTGGCCAGGTACTTGTTGCCATAGGGCCGGCCCAAGGCTGGTTCAACGGCTAAAAATAAATGAGAAAAAAAAATAATAAGAAAAAAGAGAGTCAAACCGGGGAAGTCCTAGTCCAAGCCCCGTCCTCAGGCCAAAGTTTGTGTACTAGGTCTTACTTTTTAGGGCCGATCCGACCCGTCTAGGCCGCCCGACCATTGTTAGCCTTGATGGCGGTGCGGTGTTTTATTAAAAATTTCTTTGGGACTTTTTTTAGGGGAGGTTCCATGGACATGGTAAAATTGAGTAATGATCCAATACCATGGTTGGATCATAGTATAATGCAATGATACTTCTAAAAAACCACGTTATTTGTACGACATCAAAATTTGCACACACACTCTCTTCACCTCAATAATGAATCCCCCCCCTCTCCCCTCCCCCTCCATAAAAAAAAAGTTCAATTTAGATATGGTCAAAATGAGGCCCCTCCAAAAACGAATCTAGATCATTCATTTTGTGAATTTCAAGATCTTAGCTCTTATAAACTCAAAATCATTTTTTTCTTTTTTAACATTGTTCATCTAATGATAATAAAGCCATCCAAAAAATTGGAAATGAAAAAAATCCTTATAAGGCATAGATCTAATCATCTCATCAAAATGAACGGCCTATGTTAATTGGGCTAAAAAAATACTTTCTAGGTTGTGCTTTCAATTTTTTCTTTTTTTTGTGATTTTTCATTAGAATGAAAAGAGTGTATATTTCAAAATTTGGATCAAACAAATGGCCATAAGATGATTTTTTAAAGTTGTTGCATCATATTACTATACAACGGTTGCATGAAATCATTGCACGGGAAAATTTGGATTCTTTGATTTAAAAAGAAAATTGGAAACCTTCAATTTAAGAAGAGTGAATGTGTACTACGAAACCATCTACTTTTAGTACAATAAAGGTCCGAATCATCTCTAGCTGTTAGATTTAAAATTTAGACATTAAGAAAAACATACAGTGTTCGAGAATTTTTTTTGAACATTGTGCATAATCAATGACACGCCTTTAGACATTTGATTTTATATTTGATGGTTAGGCATCAGTACGACCACAGTGCGTCAAAAAATAATTCGTCTCATCTTATA